ACGTGTTTTAATTTTACATTAAATTTTATAGGCTAAAGGTTAATAATGAAAATACTTAAACTCTAAATTCAATTAATTTAAGAATATTACAAATAAAAATGAAATAATATGGCACAAAAGAAGGTAAGGCAATATAATTAAATTTGTGCCTCAATCCACCAAAGGCCTTCCTCATGGAATTTGTTCACAAAAGATGTGTTCCTGGAATATGTGATACATATACTTTTCATCAGAATCTACTTTATTCCTACTTCATGTTCCTGATAAAAAAAAAAAAAAATAGCAAGCACCAAATTTGATAATATATGTGATGCACAGATTTAAGTTCACCCCAAACCTCAAGTGGAACTCGTACATGCAATCCATCACCAAAGATACTAGAAAAAGGGTTGACTCTCTGTACCTCACCAGTAAGTACCTGAGTCCTCCTGCTATCCTCTGCCTTTATGAGAGCCAGATCAGGCTGAAAATGAAGTACTGATGACATAAGGGGGCAGAAGCAGCCCAATTTTCACTTTACAGTTTTGAGTCGAAAAACGTCTCCATGTCCTTGGGGATGATGAATTATTTTCCATCCTACAACACTTTTCTCACAGATAAAATGTTGCAAATCTCTCACTTCTCTCTCACTGTTTCCATGGAAAGTGTTCATTACTTAGTTCCACCAGTTCTAATCTTCACATCTAAGACCCACAAATGGGGAACCAACCTCGTTCTATTGTCACACATACATAAACTTTTCTATGACTTTGTTACAGACACCATTACAAGTGTAAAAATGTGGGTATTATAAACTTGGTCACATGCAATAAATGTTCTTTTAATGGTTACACAAGAAGGAAAAGAAAATCAAAATCAACATGAAATTCAAATAGAGCTCTAAACAACTAGAGACATTTATTAAAATGGTACATACTGTTCATTGAACGTTCTATGGGGAAAAAGGTGCATGCTGAATTAAGGAAATTTTTCTTCTGTCTGTCAGAGGCCAACTCAGCACATCTTCACCAGTTGCCCATCAGTAGTCAAAAGAGAGAGAGTTTTTTTTAGTTGTGCACCAAGGTGGAAACAAGGCTGGGCTGCCATTGGCTTGTCTATTGGCCAATCAGAGGAATCGTTAGGTGCCAGTTACAGCAATTCCATTAAAGAGACTTCTGGATTAGTCACTTCCTTTAAATTCTTATGAGGGGCCATTACAACTTCCTTTGTTCAGAAACTAACTGTATTTTCTTTTTCAATAAGAAATATCTATATTTTTCTCAAGGGAAAATAATGATTAAAACTTCATCTGAAATCACAGCTTTGTCTTTGTTTTTTTCACATATTATTAGCATTAAATTTCAAACTTTTGTTTTTACTTGATTTTATAATTGGAAGACAATTTATTTGGTGTCAGATCTAAGTAATTGCTAACTTGGCCTCAGTTCATTGACTGTTACTGTAATTTCATCAATTTGTTCCCAGTTCAAAACAAATTTCTTTCCATATGTTTATTAGAAATTTATGGAACAAAGTGGGTCTTATACAGGGTGTCCCCAAAAATTTGACATCATTTTGCAGGCGAATAATTTCGACAATTCTTGTTGAAATAATCTCAAATTTTCAGAGAATGTATAGAAACAAATCAAGATTTTATATTTAATGTTTTATTTTTGTTATCGCAATGAGAATTTGCCAGAGAGATGGATCGGGTGTGGTTGAGATGAAGACAGTTTTTGGATGAAATGGTCACCACAGTCACTGGACCTGTCCCTGTGTGATTTCTTTTTTATGGGGATATGTGAAGGGACTGGTCTATGTCCCTCCCACCTCTTTCTGCTAGCATTGATGAAAAGCAGAGAATCACTTCTGCACTGGGTAATGCTACTGGAAACATGCTACAGCATGTTTGGCAACTACCAACTTAATGTGTGCCATGTCACAGGCAGTACACATATTGAACACTTATGAAATCAGTCCCATAATAAATTTATGATTGTTCAACATCTAAACTGTTCAATTTTATTCAACTAGAGTTAGTAGTTTTTAAGATAATTGCTTTTAAAATGATGTCAATTTTTTTGGAACACCCTGTATTTCATTCAATATGACAATAACATAATTGGGGTGGTACAAAATAATTCCAATTTTTAACTATAAAGTTCAAAGTAAGATATCTCAACTTGGAATCAAATTGATTGATCAAAAGAAGAAGGATTAGAATCTATCCATAAAACAAATATATTAATTCTGATATCCTAGAATTCTGAAGTTTTGGAATTAATGCAATTTCCAAAGATGTTTTGAATTGCCACTTGCTTGTTGAAGACCATCTATTGCAAGAAATTGATGAGATGCTTGAAAAAGTGGTAGTCAGACAGAGGAAATGTCTGGTGAGTAAACTGAATATTGTAGAATTTTGTAACCCACTTTGATCAATTTTTTAGTAATTTGTGAGAGATGCAGTCAAACATTGACATACCAGGTGTGGCATAAATATTTACCCATTACTTAAGCATAATTTGAAATACACCTATCTGTAAAAATAGTTTAAAATCCCATTGACAGGTATATAACATCAGTGCTATTGTATTACCATTTTGTGAATGGCATCTTGACTGTGCAGCAGTCTCCAATGGGGCCTCACAATGTCATGATGAAGTGTACAGTTATGGCTTTGTTTCTGGACAATTTAATCCAGTTAACTGTTGCACATACTACTTGTGCATGTGTCTGTTTCACTACCACACCATCACCTGTTCCAAAATCTCAATATATCTAAGCATGTTCACAACAAAATCAAGCAGAAGTTACAAACCCATCCCAAACAAATGTAATTCCCAGATTCAGCATATCCTACACTGATATGAGGGGCCTATGATCCAAATTTCCAAAAGTTGAAATCTATCTTCACAAGGTCAAACCTGACAGCATATTCCTGTCAGAAATTGGTCTTAACCTATCTATCCTGGTGCAGGAATTCATAATCCCAAGCTACTCAAGCATAATAGTAATACAAGACTCTCAAAACTTGACATGGCTATGGACTCAGTACCTATATTAAGGATGGGTTTCCATGTGGCAGAGAACATAAAAATGAGGATTTCCTTGATTTTGCATGACCTTCACTAATTTTTACTATCATACACAGGATGATTGAAGTGTAATGTTTAACAAAATAGCTGAGAAAATTAATGATATCTTTTCTAATCATTCGTTGGCTAGTATTTATATTTGTGGCAAATTCATTATTCACCACAAGGAGTGGTTAGTCCACTCAAACAAAACTGATGAAGTCAGATACTGTTTTAGGGTGTTGCCTACTTCTATAATTAATGTAAGGTTTCTATGAGAATATTTTACAATACATGAACTAATGGTGGCAAAAAGGTACATGCACAAAATAACAGATCAATTGATTTGCAATACAAAATAACATTTATTTAACAAAATAGCAAAAAGAAAGTTTAAGTGTTTGTTTTCCTGATGATAAAATGGAAAACACAATGAATGTATTTGAGTGTGACTTGCCTGTGTAGGTGTGTTCTCTTTTTGATTCAGTGTGAAAAGTCAATAGCACACACTTTGAAAAGAGGAAAACAGGAAGAGAGTTACTTTAAGAGTTCAGATTGTTTTTATACCCTCAGGGCTGCTGCTGATATCATGTTTATTAAGACTCTACACTGTCATGACTTCTCTATTGCTTACGATCTGACCTAGATGTTGTTAAGCCCACTTGTATTTCTGACACAACCATCCGTCATGCAATCCTCCCAGTCATCTTTTTTACACCATACCATGAAAAATGCTCCATTGAAGTGTTACCTCCCTTGAGCATTTATGACGATTTAGTGAGCAATATTGATGCTAAACTGAATATATCCCCTCATATCTCATTTTCATAGGATAATCTTTCAGTATGCCAATGTTGATCGGCACAGCTTCAGATCTTAAATTGCAGAAGCTCCCCTTTCTGCTTTCTTCAAAAATATAGCTTCTAGAATTGCCTCCCTCATTTCTAAGTGGATCCTCTCAGGCATGGATAGTTTTATCCTGCAGATAAAATACTAACAGAAACCAAATAGACAGCCTTGGCTCATACCAGAATGTGCTGCTGCTGCTATAGTCCACTGTAACCAATATTACCATCTCTATCACAGAGTATGGTGTAATAGGACTCTTGCAGCATTCAGAACCACCCACAATCATTGCAAGAGAGTTCTAGAAAATGCAAAGAGTAGCTATGCACATTCTGTCTAAGCCAAGGTTAAAAACAAAAGAATTAGTTCCTGTAAATTCTGGAAAAAAAGCCTCAGTGCTATCATGAATGGCCTTGAGGCTATTTCATCCTTATATGGCAAGGCAAGGACCTTTGAAATGAACTTTCCCTCCAATTCTACATTAGATAATAACAACCATTTGATTTCCCTCTTTGCACAGAGCACAAACTTTGTAATATGTCTATCACGGCACAGGAAGTTTTCAGACTTTTTAAAAGTCTTAACTCTAAGAAGGCTACTGGTTTGGATAAAATCCCAGTGGCTGTTCTGACAAACATCAGCCCTGTTATCTCCAATCATGGCAAAACCGTTTAACCACTGCCTGAAGGAGAGATATTTCCCAAGTCAATGTGTGTACTGTTTTTAAGAATTCAGGTGAGTAAAGGCAAAGTATCAGTGTCAACTATCATAAGTGTCCCTGAGGTTATTTCAAGGTTCTTTGCAATGAACTCTACCTCTACCTCTGTTAGATGATTTGGACCCTCTTTACCTGACTTCCACCTACTTATGGTACACAAAGTCTGTAATATCTGTAACACAAGATAGGAAATTTTCAGACATATCAAAAGCCTTCACTCTAAGAAGGTTATTGTTCAGTCCAGAGTTGTCTCCAAGATTGGAAAAACTGTTTAATGGCTACCTAAAAAAGAGATAACAATGATAACAGCAAAATTGCAATATGAGCACTGGTCAAAATGGTTGCTGAAGACATTAGGTTTATAATACCCAGAAATTCATACCTAGATGTCCTCAAGGACACATGACACAGTGGATAAAGGCATTGGTTAGATCCAGTGACAGGACCCAAAGAGTGTGAGTTCAATACTCGGTTAAGGCAGTGGAGAACTTTCAGAGGGAAATTAACAGGAGATAACTGATAACTGACATCCATCAAGCATGGCATGTGGAATTAGAACAGTCTACCCCAGTGATTGAAATAAAGGGTTTGGTTCGGCATTCCAACCACCTGAAGAAGGCCGGAGTGTACAATGGCTGAAATGTGATAGATATGGCGAAAAAGATGAGGACAATTGTCCGAATAATGTAAAAAAGAGATGTTGTCCAATTCTCTAGCAAGTATCAACTATGTAGCCTGTTTTTAAGAATATGGATTAGCACTTTTCCTATTGCAGTATCGATCCATTAACCTTTTAATCATTAGTATGCTCTTTGAGCCTATAATCAATAAGAAGGTTGTTGAAACCCTAATAAAAACAGCCTCCTGAGTGATAACCAGTATAAATTTTGCTCTGCTAGATTCACTGCTGATATCCTAGCTGTCATTACTCACAGAATTGGTGAGGTACTAGACAATAAATTTATCATGATGACGATTATCATGATCTGAATAACTAGAACCTGACAGCTGATCTCTCTTCTGATCAAGCCCTTGTGGCTCAATGGGGGAAGTACTGGCTTGTAACATTCAATACCTCCAAAACCAAGCTACTAATGTTAGACCATCACCTAGCAGATAGTGAACATTTGCCTATCATGATAGATGGATATTTGAATGTCTATTGTGACTCAATCTTACCTCAGACTTCGAGTGGAGCATATATACAATCTATTGTTCAAGATGCTGGAAAAATGGCTGATTCCTTGTACCACTTCTGTAAGAATCTGACACCCCCTAATGTATTCTATGTTTCTATATTTGCCAGATCACACCAAAAATGGTGTATTGCTGATATATATGTATTGCTTCTCAGTCCTCATTTGCCTGTCTTGATTTCAAAAGCATGTATGTGACCTTGTGGGTGATGAATCATTTTCCACCAAGCAACCCCTCTCATACAGCTGAAATGTTGCATACCTCTTGCTACTCTATCGCTATTTCCATGGCAAATGTTCTGACAAGCTATATTCTTTAGTTCCACCAGTCCTGACATTTGTAGCTAGACCTACCATACCATGTACATGGGGACAAATCATCCTAATTCCTATTATATTCAATTAATAATAAGTAAGTTCCATTCAGACAGCTTCTTCCCAAGGACTGCTACTTTCTGGAACAGACTCCTGGCAGGGAGTTCTTCTTGATCATTACAATCTTAACCTCTTCAAATCTAGAGTTAACTGTTGTCTCTCTTGCACTACTGACCTCCTCTTCTTGTGCTTATGCAGTATCATTTAGTACCCCTCTACCTTGAGTGGTTCTTAGGATTTGTATTTGGTGAACATAAGTAAAAATAAAAAATATCTCTTTATTTAAATAATTTAGGATGATAGAAAGTTGTGTTAAAAAAGACAGCAATAAGATGGACCAGAAATGAATAGTGAAATATTCATTATCTAAGAATTTAAAATGACAGAAAATTGTTATAATAAAAGATAGAGAAAGGACTAACCAAAAAGAATAAGGGAAATGCTTCATTTCTGAATTCAAATAATTTAACAATGTTTTCACTTATGTTTTTTTTTTTATTTATTAATTTATTCATTTCATTCTTTTTCTTCAATGAAAGGATCCAGAGAAGAAAGTTCGGCTTTATTGCTACTTGCATCCAACTTACAAACGGTTACTATTCGGCAAGGCTGAAATCCTCAGTATGAAGCCTCGAATTGTGCTTTTTCATGATATGGTTACTAGAAATTCTACAGATGATATTAATAAAATAGGTTTGGATCAGGTGAGATAAAATGTTATTTTCAACATATTTTCTTTGATGTTTGCATGATAAGTGAAAGAAACTCTTGAAAAAAAAATTTAGGTAATCAATGTTTGACAAACAAATAAGAAATAATGAAAATACTTCTTTTCTGAATTTAAATAATTTAAGATGGTCGAAAGCAACAATGAGTTGAAGAAAAGACTAACCAAAGATACATAGTAAAACATACTTCATTTATACTATTTATTGTCCTCATTCCTGCTGTTGTTATCACAATGTTTCAGCCATTTTGCACCCCCACCCCCGACTTTCTCATGTGTATACCCATCTGGGTAACCTACAGGGAATTCCGAACTGAACCCTTTATTTAATCTATGGTGGTAGACTGTTCACATTCCACTACCCATGTCTAGGAATATGGTTTTGGTCTTACTTTTTGTACTGCTCAATTATTGCCCACCCATTTTCACTGAGACCAAGTACATACTGCCTGACTCTGGGATTGAATTCACAATCAAAACTTTAATCCTAATAGATTAAATGCTTGTAATCTCTTCTTTATCTTTGAGATGATTGTCTAGCATTCACTGCCATACAGAAAGACTGATACTGTGTAACAGTTCTGTACTCTTTTTTTTTCCATTTCTAACAAAATTTCCTTGTCTCTTTATACTTTGCTTAGCTTCTGGAAGGCATCTTTGGCTATCCCACTGCACCTTCAGATTTCAGTGTCTGACTTTATGCCCTCTGTTAAAACATTTCTCAGATATTTAAATTTTGTACTTGCTTGACTTTGGTAGCTCCAGTTTGTAATTTACATGTTGGCCTGTTCCTTTTGCTGGCAAATATGCATTCTATCTTCTTGCAATTGATGTTTAATCCTTTCTTCTTGCTTTCCCTCACTACATTCAGTAGTAGTTACTTGTCCAAATTTGACATATGATTTTGCAAAAGGAACTCATAATATACAACATTCTTCGACTACTATCAGATACACAGTATTGGCTTTATCAAATGCAAAACAGTTTTTGGAGTGGGTAACAGTGGCCCGTTCCATTTTTGCAGTGATATTTTTCATCTTGCATTGTTTTGAACAATCCATTTTGTGTTGCCTGGGATCATGCTTTTAAAAAATGGGGTGTTTTTGTTGCGTTTAAACAGAGAATCATTGATGGAAATAAGGTCCATTAAATTTCATTCTGTTAAATCATGAGGCAACCCCACATTGTAACAATTTGTGAATCTAAATGTTTTCAAATGTCTTACAACACTCATATGACATATCTGGGGTATTTCTGTAATGTCTTGTATTCTGTGAACAGGTTTATTTTAATCAGCATTTCAATTTAGTTACTGCAGGTTACCAGAATGTTCTTCCAAAATTTCCACTTTTGAGCTTAGTGAAGCACTTACGAACTGTACTTTCAGCTATGGCACCATCTCAATAAATGGCACATATCATTTTTGCCGTTTGTACAGCATTTTTTCTCTTCAGCATCAGATGATGAAAACATCCCCAGAACTTTTATGGTTTGAAACTGGATGTGCCGATAGTGTTACAGTCACTGGTACAGATCGTTTAATGATTATCAGTGCAGAAAGTGAATTCAGCATTTTGAGTTCAATTCCTGCTCAATTCAGCTTATTTCACATTGGTCTAATGTCCTTGGAAAAGGCATGAATTCATCTTTCTCTAGCTATAGTTTAAATAGCAGGGCAGACTTGGTTCTATTATTTTGATTTGGCAACCAATCTAGGAAAAGGAAAACTCTGAATTAAAAACCAGCTTGAAGAGTGATGGGCTCCATCTGGCTATATTGTTCTAGACACACTTAATGCTGCTATGGTTGCAGTACATATGGTCCCTTTATGACCCAAATATGATACATTTTGTTTCGTTTGTTATTTTCCTAATAATTAATGTGGCAGAAAAAAAAATTTTGTTATTTAATTTGATGATAAGGATATTTTTAATCATTTTTTTATAACTTTTTCCTTTACAGATGTTAACAATGGCAGACTATATGACATACAAGTATCAGATTCAAGGGTGAGTGAATAAAAATATACTTTCATAACTAGGTTTATTTTGACTGATGCCATTATATTGCCTTGATCTATAATTGTGTTTTTTTTATCATTTCACCCCAAGCAAGGCAATAAAGCCACTAAGATGCAAAGGGTTACTGAGTGTTAAGAGAGTATATGAAAAAAATACTATTAAGGAGAGAGAACAATAAATTAACAAGAATCAAGAAGACAGAAGATAATGATTGACATGGCATTTAAATTTTTGAATATCAAAGTTGATTGGGAAGCAAGAAACCAGAAGAGAGTTCCACAAGTGAGAAGTGCGAGAGAATAAACTATTAACATAGAACTTGCAGTTATATCTAGCCATTTCAGTTGTAAAATGATGAAATCTTGCCACCAATCTAGTACTGCACTTAAATTCATAAAGTCTAGATACCATAGATTAAATTTCATCAGAACAATTACCATGAAATTATTTGTAGAAAAGGCACAGGGAAGCTACGTTACAGCAGTGGGAAAGTGACTGAAAGCGGGATGCTAAGATCAAGAACAATAGTATTGTAGATTCCTCTAAATGTATAGCAGGAGCACAAGACCAAATGTGGCAATAATATTTGAAGCAAGGACAAATGGTAGACTTATAAATATGCAAAATAGATTCAGAAGAGAAAAAATGTCTAGCATGACACAGTGAACCAACTTTCCTAGCAGCAGACTTAGCAATTGATTCAATATAATCTTTCCAATTCATGTTAGCAGAAAATGTTAGTTCAAGAAGGTGCAATTAGTCACTGTCCTGGTGGTTAGCATCAGCCATTCTGATAGAAGGCAGAAAAGGTTTTTGCAGATGATTAAAAGAGTTTTAAGGTTAAATGAAAGGTCCTTTGTTAACAGAAAATTTAAATTTTTTAAATAGTTTTGCCAATTTGACCTTATCAGACCAATTTACTTTAATCAGGAGTAAAAGTCGTAGTTCATCAGTAGAACTGTTTGTATGATACACCTAATTTACATAAGCGGACTACCGACCATATAAATATGGGTTGGTACCGGAAGACAGGGAAGATAGTAGAGATTAAGAAATTGAATCCAGAGACTCTGCCCGACTGCGATTTAGTCAACCCATTATGCAGGAACAGTCTTCCCAAGAATATACCAAACTAACTGTAAATATTGTGTACCTATTCTTTGTTTCAATACATTTTGTTAACGTACATTTTGTGTTGTATTATTCCATGCTTATTTAAGCTTCAACAGATACCAAGTTGAGAACTGATACCAAACAGTGAATAACCTACTAATAAGTTTGTGTAAATGGATGGCAGGTCAGGGATGGAATGAATAGTAAGAGGACAAATATTGCTAAGAGCTACAAAGTATAATGTTGTGAAGTGATATATTGTGAAGGGACACAGTGATTGAAGGGACACACATTGATTGAAGGGACACAGTGATTGAAGGGACACATAGTGATTGAAGGGACACAATGATTGAAGGGACACAATGATTGAAGGAACACACAGTGATTGAAGGGACACACAGTGATTGAAGGGACACACATTGATTGAAGAGACACAGTGATTAAAGAGACGCACAGTGATTGAAGGGACACACAGTGATTGAAGAGACACAATGATTGAAGGAACACACAGTGATTGAAGGGACACACAGTGATTGAAGGGACACACAGTGAGTGAAGGGACACAGTGATTGAAGGGACACACAGTGATTGAAGGGACACAATGATTGAAGGAACACACAGTGATTGAAGAGACACAGTGATTAAAGAGACACACAGTGATTGAAGGGACACATAGTGATTGAAGGGACACAATGATTTTGAAGGGACACACAGTGATTGAAGGGACACAGTGATTAAAGGTAGAAAAACTGTTGTTGCAATGGTAATGTTTTGTAACAGTATCAGCTGGATTTGTCTCAATATTATCTGGAAATTGTAAGCATTGTGAAACACATGCTACTACTACTAGATCTGATGCGATGAAGATGTTGAGCCCATGAGAGCCACCTTGTCTCTCCACCTGTTACCATCTTGGCAGAGCATTGGAAAATTGTGGAGGGATCAGTGCTCGCACCGAGGCCAGCGCAAATGACGGCTGCGGGGGTTGAGGAGAATTTTTGTCCTTGCCCGAGGGTACACGCTCGGGTCCCCACATTAATCCGACCTTGTGTCACATCTCATTCTCGTGGGGGAATGAGTAAATACCAGAGCATTGGAAAATTAAACTAAAATTATCTATTAATTATAAAACTAAAATAAAAATCCAGTATTCTGAAAATTAAGATAAAAACCCATTAATAATTACAAAAAGTTAAAATAAAATTCCACTATTAATTATAGGTTAATAAAAAAATCCAGCACTAATTATAAGTTTCTATCTATAACCTATTAATATCACCCTGCCTCCAAAATGGGACAGTGGATATTAATGGATTAAAATTAATATTTTTTTCTGCCTGGGTTTGATTTGTATATTCTGTATCTGATTAACAAGATATAAACTATTTCATGAATCAGATATAATATTTACAAGGTGTTATCCAAAAATGATTAGCCAGTTTAAAAAAAAAAATGGAAATCTGCTAATACAAGCTTCAAGAGTCATTCAAGATAGAATGTTACTGTTAAAAGTGTTATGATAAATGGTGTGTGATATGAATGAAAGATGAGGTGATTGGAAGTGAAATCTATGAGGACAATGATGATAAATAACGATAGACTCTTGGCTTGAAGAGGTTAAGATTGTAGCATTCAAGGAAGCATCCAAGTGGGAGTCTGTTCCTCAAAGTGGTAGTTCTTGGGAAAAAGCTGTTTTCTTTTTTCTTAGATTTGAAATGCAGAGGAAATGAGGGTGATTTGACTGTGTGAAAGTAGCATGATGTGTTCTAGCTGTAAAGGCATGAACTGGTGGAATTAAAGAATAGAGCTCATCTGAGCATTTTCCATGGAAACACCGATAAAGTTGCAATGGACTTTACCAGGAAATAAAGAACCCGGTTTTTAAAATCAATTTTTCCCTTCTCCGAGAAAGTCATTTCGCACAGTAATTTCCTTAAGCTTTCAATATTAGGTCAGGTCCTTGTATAGAATCAGCAATATGAGAGAAGAGAGAATTAGGGTCGGGGTGGATGAAAGGCACATACCGCCTACTGTGTGAATTAATAATGAATTTAGAGATCCTGTGCGGAATTTACTGAACTTTAAAAGAGAGAGTAAAAGGTGGATTGAGAGAAAAATAGAGAAAGTTGGGTGAGTAGGGGTAGAAGAAATATTATCTGACTGTATCAGAAATTGATATTTTGTCTCTTAACAATTTCTGGTATGATAAAGTTTCAGGAATAAAACATGAAACGAGGTCAGGTGAAAAAAATGTGAACGAGAAAGAAAGAAAGAAAGAAAGAAAGAAAGAAAGAAAGAAAGAAAGAAAGAAAGAAAAATACGAAAAACATTTATTTTATATTTTAGACTTCTAATCAATTCTAAAATAAAACCTGAAGTGAGGTCAGGTAAAAAAAAAAAATAAAAATAAAAACAGAAAAAATAGAAAAAAAGAAAGAAAGAAAACAAAGAAACAAAGAAAAAAAAAGAAAGAAAATTTATTTTAGAATTTTTTAAATCCATTCTAGAGTAAAACCTGAAATGAGGTTAGGTAAAAAAAAGTTGTGTGTGTGTGTGTGTGTGAGAGAGAGAGAGAGAGAGAGAGAGAGAAGAATAGAGATTTATAAAAAATAGGAACAACATTTTTAATTTAGACTTTTTTAATCCATTCTAGAGAAAAATCTGAAATGAGTTCAGGTAAAAAAAGAAAAGAAAGAGAGAGAGAGAGAGGGAGAGAGAGAGAGAACATTTTTATTTGAGAATTTTAATCCATAAACATCAAAGAGTGTGCAAAAATCTGTGGGTGTACATTTGTGTATATATGATTGTATTGTCTTTCTGCATGAGCATGAGTGTATCTATGGGTTGATATACTGGTACTGTGTGTAACCGTTGGTATGTGTATATTTGTTTGTTTATACGTGTACGTCTATCTGTGTCCGTGTATTCCCGTGTATGCTTCTACTAGATGTTTGCGTAGTGTTAGCATCTATATGAAACTATGTGTGTTTTTCATGTATTTGTATATGTATATTTACACAAGTGTTTTTATCTGTTGCAACATGACCATGTGTGTGTTCGAGTCTTAGGAAGAGACTACATTTATTCATTCTTTAACAAACGTAACATTTTTTTAAATTTAAAGAAAAGTTATCTATCTATCTATCTATCTATCTATCTATCTATCTGTATATATAAATAAAAAGAAAGAACAGTAAGATATATAATTCGGTGTTCTTATAGATATTTTTATTTTTACAAAATAGTGCTCAATGTAAATTTACAGAGCATTAATATTATAAATTATTTGATTTAAAATATGTTTTTTTTTCGCTACACAGTTCTAACCATGTTTCAAAAATGGAAGCTAAAAGCTTCGAATTTAATTTTGTAATTAAATTAAAAACATTAGTTCCATTTCATCTTCACGCGAATTTGGAGTCCAAAATTCACTTGGAAAAATGCCAAACATTGTAAATGAAATAGAACCATTAATTACTGAAACTGCACAAAATGAAACAGTTATAAAACATATAATCTATACATACCTAAAGCCCACATATATCGATAAACGTCCATGATTCTTTATTATTAAAATTTTAAAATTCTTAACTTAGTTGACACTAATAAAATTTCATTAAAGAAGTACCTTGTACATAGACGAATGTTATTTACAAATTCACTGACAACCACAACTTTTTCTCAACTCTCTTGTTATAACTCTAACATGCTGAAATTAATGACTAAAGTTCGGAAACTAAACAAGAACTAACATGAACTGTGGGCAGTTCCTGCATACTTCTCCCGCACAAAAGATGGAAATTAATCCGACAACAAGAAAAGATTTCCCAAAAAGATGTATAGATAATATGAGTTAGTTATCTTCAACAGAACTT